CCCTAAACCCTAAACCCCGAAAACCCGACCCTAATCTCTAGACCCTCAACCCCCCAAAACCATCCTAAACCCCTAAAGATCCCTAAAGCCCGACCCTAATCTCTAGACCCTAAACCCCCAAAAAACTAAACCCTAAAGTCCTAAACCCTTAAAGATCCCTAAAGCCCGACCCTAATCTCTAGACCCTAAACCCCCTGAACCCTAAAGTCCTAAACCCCTAAAGCCCGAAGCCTCATGAACCCGACTCCGGAGTCAGCAGGCCTTCGCAAGCTCCGCCGTCCTCCCCCTGGCAGACGTGATGACCCGGCTCTCCAGGCAAGAGCCTTGGGAGGGAGTGCTGACAAAATATCGTTAATTATTGTTATTAGTCTTATTATTCTTATTATTCTTATCATTGTTAGTATTATTGTTTGTAGTAGGGTTCTTTTTAGTGTTAGTCTTGTGTTGTGTCATTTTTGTATCAGTTCATATTGCATTCGGTTATGTTATATTATATTATTGTATATAGTATAGTTAAGGCCACTGCCGTCACCCCGCTCTAATCGTCGTTTGCTTTGAGGGCTTAGGGTCGTAGGCCGTCGAAACAGAAGCAAGCAGGAAATGGGATCAGTTAGTACAGCAATCAAATGCTTTCAGGGTCTTCAGCTAGGGGTTTCGGGAATATAGTGTCGGGCAAAGCTTCGAGCGTACGGTCTTCGTGGCAGAGGCGTTACTGCAAGTTGCGGTCTGTTGGGGCTTGCGGTTGGTATCGCTGGTTTAGGGCGTCATGTTATCTGATTCTTGGATCAGACTACCATAGTTAGGCCCATCAAGAGAACCGGAAGACTGCACGCCGCTCCCTGTGCCCAGTGCCGCTCTCCTGGATGGAAAGGAGGTCGAAGCTTGCAGCCGGATGCTGGGTGCGCCAAGCGAAGCGGCGGATTCAGTCAGTCCTAACCGGTCCGAAGCTATAGATCCTAAACCTCCCCCGAATCCTCTGTGCTTGAAACTGCTATAACCTATTCTGAACCGTACGTAGCATCTTTAATGTTCTCCCCAATTTTACGGTGCAAGTCCTGAGAACGATTTCTGTAAGGGCTTTGTGCAACGACGATGAGCTGCCTCTTGCCAACATT